CACCTGTTAATAACCTCCTCTGTGCCAATGAATGATGTAAGGTAAGTAGGATAGAGTTCCAGTCCTCATGAAGCTCAGACTGTCGTGGGAGACAGGCAAATAAGCAAAAGCAATGTTTTAGTGTCCAGTAAATGGGGGTTCAACAAATGGATTATGACCCAACAGTGGGTCTGCTTGGAACGGACTCTTCTTGACCCTCCATACCCCTGTTCTTTTGGATAATTCATAATCGCTGGAGCTGATGCTCACAACCAGGCCTTGGAACAATTTTCTCTGTCCCACTCCAAATACCTCTAGCCCCCTTTCTCCTGACAGATCACCTCTCCTGGGCTCCTTGAAGGCAGACTGTGGTCTCTGTGCTGGGTCACACCTCTTTATCAGCTCAGGTGACCCTGCCTCAGGAAGTCTTCCCTGATACCTGATACGGCTTGCACAAGTACACACACACACACACACACATACACACACACACACACACACACACACACACACACACACACACACACACGTCTGCTAAGCCTGGCTTAGATCCCCTCTCTATGCCCAGAACACCTATTTCATTTCTCTCGTGGAGAGGGATGTATATGACACTTACTGTCTATTTGTTCTACTATTTTATGAACACCTGAGTATAGGAGATCATTTTTTCAAACCTCTGTCCACAGGCCAGTGCCTGCACAAAGCAAGAACAAAATAAATGAATACACATGAACGAGTGAATGAATGAACGTGACAGCTGTTCCCTTGAAAGAAGTGGCTAGGTAGATTCAAGATTTTTGTGTCACCTTCTTTGAATATTGGATATTTGGATGTTGGGCTTAGATATGCCATTTCAGTGGCAGGGTTGGTCCACTGGCCTAGTTTTAGTGCAGAAGCCCCCACTTGGGGACAGAAATGAAGAAACAACTGAGCATCTCATTTGAAGAAAGCCAACCTCAATTCAACTGAGGCCAAACAAAGCACTGCCTCTCTTCAGAGCCCCAGGGGCCCCCAGAATATCTGTCATATCTCAGCTCTCTGTCCTGAAGGCTGCGCCTCCCAGCCCATTAGAAATGCTAATCTCCAGCTTGGAGCTGGATTAACCGACCCAGTGGGAGGAGACAGTCACCGTCCAATCTTTATTAAGAGTGAAGGCTATCCCCCCTCTTCCCAGCTGCCCCCAAAGGGATGGAATCTGGGAATTCATTACAGCCCCTCTCATCAAGGCAGCCTCTACTGTTCAGCACCATTAGGTGGAGGAAGGCCGGGGAGGGCCCATTTCGGCTTCCCCCTCCTCACTTAATGCATCAGAGCCCATTTGTTTGATGTCAGTTCCTGCTGGAGCATGCGAACCAAGCAGTGGGCCTCAGAGCAATTTGGAGCCACAGCTGCGGCCCAACAGCCCAGCCCCCAACCCCGACTCCCACCCCCATCCCAGCCCTAGAACGTATGCTGATCAGCCCCAGACCCCACAGCAGAGAAGCATGGCTTTGTGTAGACCAGGGAACAGTCTGGTAGGGTCCACAAACAGACCCTCAGCCCTGGCTTGGGTTTGATAGGAACTCAACTTACCCACACTGAGCGGGAACAGGAATTGAGACCCCTCAGCCTCACAGAGGAGACCACAGCAGAGGGTGAGCAGTGGCTGGAGGGCAGGGGAATATTTCACTCTGAAACAAACAAAATTACTTACTATATTTTTAACATCACAACTGAACATCAAACAAGCCCGAATCTCTGTTAAATGGAGGGTCCAGGATGGATCTGGGCAGAGAGTTTGCAAATAGCATCAGGAGACAGCCCTGTATAATGGAGCGGGGAGGTTTTGGAATTCAAGAGCCGCGGTGTGGGGGAGCAGGTAAGGGGCACAGACAGGCAGAAGAAAGATTAGAGTAGTGGTTCTCCAAGTGTGGGCCCTAGACCAGCAGCACAGCATCACCTGGGAACTTACAGAAATGCAAATGGTTGAGCCCCACCCCGACCTACTGTATCAGAAACTGAAATTGGCTTTAACAAAGCCTCCAGGTGATTCTGATGCAGGCTCAAGTTTGAGAGCCGCTAGACTTGAGGGACGTAATGAGAAGGCTGGGCACTCTGGGATGTGACCCTTCCCCATGCCCCCCAAATTGTTAGTCAAGTCTACCCAAATTGATGAATTTGCTTCATGTGAGTGGATGTGTTATACAAACTAACAAAGTCCGTGAATTCTACAATACAACCCAACTGATGTGGGTGAAGCAGAGATCACAGGAGAGTATAGGGCTCAGAGAACAAGCCCCCAGGAATTAAAGTATGTGGGGGAGACTTTGACTTTCACAGACCATGGAACTGACAGGGAACTGATGCAGAAGAGGCAACACACACTTATGTCAGAGAGGCAAGAGGCCACCAGATGGGATTTGGGTCACAATACATTTAGTGACTTACGAGGAGAAGGGGGACTAACGATGCTGATGCCCGCTGCCCGTGCGTGGCAGAGTGATGTGCACTTTATGCAAATGTTCTCTCCTAACCCTCACACGGGCCCCTTGGTAGCTTTATATCCTGCTGCACATGAGGAAACTGTGGCTCCAAATGTCTGAATCATTGGCCCAATGTAAATGACAAAGCCAGAACTAGCTGCCAGGTCTGTCTGAACCTCAAACCTCACCTTTCACTACTGCACTTGGGTATGAATGGGCATCTCTAAGAAGGATTCGCCCAACGTCTGCGCTTCCAAGGCATCGTTCCAGACCAGCCCCCGCCAGCTCTTCCACCTGACCTGGCAACAATTCGCCCCTACTGCTCCTCTCCACTGTAGCAGAATGTGCAGGCTTCTGACTTCACCCCAAGACACCCAGAAAAGCCCTGGAGAGGGTTGTGGGTGCCCTGCAGCTCAGGGTCCTGTGGTGAGGGGCAGCAACGCCATAGGGTGCTCATCCTCCTCCAAGTCGGCCTTGAGTACCAAGAAAGAGCTACAACTCTGCAGATAGGTCAGGCACTGCTGTGTGACCTCAGGCAAGTGACCTAACCTCTCTTAGCCTCAGTGCCTTCATCTATAAAACTGGGATTGTACTTGTAGCTACCTCATAGGTGGTTGCAAGGATCAAATCCTTTAAAATGTGAAATGTTCTAAGAAAAGTACCCGATGCATAGTAAG